ACTCACGGGAGCCCAGCTCCAGGTTGAGCTGTTGTTCAGCATCTTAGCTGTAGAGGGCAGTGTCACTGGCCCTCATATGTGGGATCCTCTGGCGTTCCAGGCCAGTTCTTAACCATCGCGCCACTCGGCCAGCCCCTCACTCATATTCTTGAAAAATAAAACCTAACATGGCTGACTACTGCTGTGGAAGCCAAACCCTAAGAATGCTAAAAAGAGAAGCCATTCTACATCGAGATTTTTTTTTTCTTTTTAATATCCCATTTCAATGTAATTACCAGTGTGCAGTTTAAGCTATTGGGTTGTCGGAGAAGTCATAACGTACTTTTTGCTTTTTGTTGCAAAAATGCGTCATGACTTTTCCGACAACACAATAGATGTGATAAGATTGTATTAAGTCGTAGCAGCAGTTTATTTTCATGAAGATACCAGCAGATGTCAGCAAAAACTAAGGCAGTGTCATATGAATTTGTACAAGGATGTTAAGCTATTTCTAGCAGGGTAACCATAGTGAAACAGATCTCTAATTACCAAAGCTTAGTCCACTGAAGCCACCTCAGTTTTCTACTGTTAGTTGACTTGTAAATCACCTTTTTGGAAGCAAGAGGGGTGAGAAAGAGGGGCTACAGTGGAATCTGATTTTTCAGGGTAGAAAGAGCGCTTTCAAAGACCTGAACTGCTCCCATTTTGTTCAACAAACATCTTCAACACTATTATTACAAGCCAAACTACACTTCAGACAGTTACCCTCGCTTAAAAAAAAAATCGCCTGATTTACAGATTATTTCATATTACCCAGGCACTCCAATACACGTTTAGGGGTTCTGAACATGGAGTACATGAATGTTTCTCTGGGGAGACAGTTCATAGCTTTCATCAGCTTCTCACAGGGGTCTTTGACCTCCAAAAAGTTAAGAACCATGCTAAAACTTACTCAAATTATATTCTCTGTATTAATAAATCACTCTCTATATGTGTATATCTATGTATGTTTCAAAATACATCTGCTAAAAATTACTGAAGTTGAATCTATGCCAGGAAAGCAGTTTTATAATAGGCTGTCAAGGCTGTAGAACAGCTTGTTATACAGAACTAGCTGTAATATTTTAAAAATAGAAGAATCATATATAATATTCCAAAGGGAAGTAGCTATTTTCTTAAATTTGTAAGACTGATAGGAAAAAGATTACATGGGATGCTATTTATTTTATTCAAATATACACATGTATTTTTATTTGCACGTTTGTGACCAACATTGTGTAAGGCCAATGTTTGTGGCCTTACATTAACTTCACCAGGGGTCATATATAGCAGAAGTTAACATAACTTTTATTTTTGCTTTTGAGATAAAAAGCATTCTAAAATAATTTAGCCACCTTGAGTCATATGCAAAATATAAAAAGGATGTAGATGATTTCATTGTATTCTATATTTCTGAAATTGTATATTAAAAACAGCAAGTAGACTTGTGATACAAATTTTCCAAAACACAGCTTTTATTACAGCCTACTCTAAATCAGATATAACTTTCTCTGTAAACATTTTGCATGCTCAGTTTGTTCTCCTAAATAGGCATAATGAACAAATATTAGCAAAAGTGTTCAATAAATTTTCCTTTGAAAAACTTATTGCTATCTTTGAAAACTAACAGAAATGTTCTACTTAGGAATGCTGACAATATCACAATTTTAAAGCCATTTATTCTATTGAAAAGATATTCCTGTTTTACTCAAAAAATCAGATTTTAATTTGTTCTTATGAAGAGCTTTAGCAATATACTAAATCATACTTAAAAGCAACAAAAATGATGATAGGATACAAAAATTGGAGTCTGTATCCTTTATAAGAAAATTTCTTTAATTCATAAAAAAAAAAATCTAGCATCAGATTTAAGTATATAATGCTAAAGTATTTTTTTTGCCAGTGCTCTGGAATTGATGAATGTACTTCTGACAACTAGGTCAGTGAACAATTATAACTTAAAAATAACATTTAATTCTGTGATTGAAAATGACATTCCATCAAAGTAAAACCAGTCATTTTAAAGAGATACCCAAAGTGTACAGAAATAAAAATAAACTTCTATTGGTCAATTCAATAAAAATGGCTGTATAAATTTATAGTTTCAATAGCTACAAAAATATTTTGTATTGTTTAAAGCTCATTTGATTAAATTAAAGTACTATATTTAGGGAAGACAAAAAAAAACCCACAAAAAACCAAAACCTAGTTTAGTAGCAATATCCTAGATAATGAGATTTTAAACAGAATGACAGGTAGCTGTCTTAAAAAAGAGCAGAGAAGTTATCAGCCACCCCCGGCCTCCAAACAGCACCCAAATTCCAACATCAAGTTTCAATCAATTTCCAAATAATTTATAGTCTCAACCAGTGTTTCTCCACCTTTTAAAAAAATTATTACCCTTTTAAGGCTTTTTTAGTCCTATTAATCCTAATCAACACCCTATAAGATTTTAATACCACAGAAATAATGTATCTGTTCATATATTGTATGTACTCATAGATTCAGGCTTTATACACAGAAATAAGATTTTTTTGTCATTGAGAACACAATTTCACCAAAAATGCATGGTCTAAACAATGGAAGGTTTATAGTATTAAACCATTTTAATAACCAGCTTGAAGAGTTTAAGCGGGGAGACAAAATGGCATGTTTTAGCACTTAAGATATGTAGATTATTCCCTAAATAGTTTAACAACCAACCACTTGTATCAGAATTATTTTTCCCAGAAGTAGGCACTGTTTTCAGCTACCTTGCCTTGCATGATACTGTGGAACCATAAAAAATGGCCATTCAAAGCAATCTTTCTTAATAATCAATGGGGAAAATTATACTTATTCTACGAGTTTTAAAACTCTGAAAATATTAAAAACTGTTAAAATGTCAATAAAAAATTATAAAAGTATGTAGTGCATTGTAATTTAAAACATTAGAAACACTGACAATCAGTGTTATTTAATAAAAAAAAAAAAAGGAATCAAGCATTAATAACGCTTGCCGTTTTCTGTCAAATAACTTATTCGGGTAAGCATCTCTTCCATACCATGGCAAAATGACATACTCCTTTAAGTCTGGATTAAGTTTCTGCCATCTTAATCATATGTACTTTGAATGTTGTGAAATGTTTCTGTGATTCCCTTTAGTGTGGAGCTTCTTACCTTCACTTCCTCAGCCCTTTCCTTCCCTGTGCTCGTGAGCTGCCTTCACAAAGCGCCTCTGGCTGTGTGGGCAGAGGCTCCAAAAAGGCAGCAGGGCTAACATTCCCACCACTAGCAGTTTCTTCTACAGCTCCATGAATGTTCAATTCAAACCTCACTTCTAGCATTATGACTTTTCATCTCTTCACTGCGCTTTCATCTTTGTTGGCCAATTCTTTTCATTATCTTTTATAAAATGTCACAGCTCTACCAAGCTGTGTACTACTGTGTAGTTTGCTGTGACTGAACCGATTAATAGGTGTGCAGTGACCAATCACTAGCAGAATTTGGGAAGTAACGTGATTGGTCATTGAGCATGAACTACATCTATTACTCACATAGTGACTTGTGGACCGAAGAGCTAGCAGGGAAATTTGTACTTGGTGTAATTACTCTCAGTTAATAGACCGTGGTAACTAAAATTTGAACTGTGCTGTTAGGGAACTGGTGTGAACTCACTCACTGTCATCAGAACTGTGTGGATGTGGGAATGGTGCAAATTGAGGACTGCCTGTACCCTACTTGTTTACATTGACCCAGACAGGCTTAGAGCTGACTGCTGAGTAACGGGCCATCCAGATTCACATCAAACAATGAATCTTAAAGCACACTAAATGCAGTATTAGCGCACGATGAGTCCATGTTGAGGTGGATTTCAAATTTTTGTCACGTGGCAATCAACTTTAAAATGTACCTTAGAATGACAAAATTTTAGGAACAGAGAAAGGACCTTTAAAGATCCTATGTTTGATACCACAAATTATCCAGCATGTTTATTATGAATTATTTCTCCTCCTTCTATTTCAATTTGCTCGTACAGCCACTTGCGGTCACAGCGGCATTCAGCCCCACACTTGGTAGAGCCACAGGCAGGACAGGCATAGAAGCATCCTAAGCAGTCTTCATCAAGGCAGTCGCAGAGGTCCATCCCGCTGAAAATGAGGAGACCCTGGCTATCATAGACCTTACTCTTTGCTGGTATCACTTGTCTGGAAAGGAAACACAAGGTGGATTACACTTCACAAATATATTTTTTTTGAATATTTGATTGAAAATAATGAAAAAAATCTAAGAAGATAAAATATGTTGAACGCGAGATGAAATCCTGCCAATGTGGTAGCTATCTCACCAGACTCAAGGCTACTCGACAGTTAGTAGCATATGAACGCCAGTGTTAGGAGAGCCCTCACTCTAAAGCGTTGGGACAAACACAAAAAGCCTGAATATGCCTCTCGAAGTCCATTTAAACATCAACTCAGCAAAGGGATGGACAAGAACTTTGTCCAAAAAATAAGTATATATATCTGTTCAAAGTATTTTCCCCTTACCTTAAAAAAAAGAAAAAGAATGACTAGTTAAAATATTACAGTATACTATCATGTTGGCTTTCATATTGCAATTAACTTGTTTCTTATTCTTTAATAAACTCTAGCAAATCTGGCCTAAAAATACTTAAGTGACTCAACTGAAAATCTTAACAGATGGAATAAATGGCATATGCAGAAAATTTTGATTATACTAACATTTCTTTGTCGATTTATATTTTAGAAATGTTTAAAGTCATATTCTAAACAATTTAGTTTTCTCATTCATACTCTTGACTGTACAGTAACTATTTCTATTTCATACCTATAAAAATTAAACAACCTTGCATTCTCATAAAATGCACTTTTTAGCTACTACTCATAGAGCAGAGATATACCAATTATATAGTATCAATACTTTTCAAAAGAGTCAATTACTTTAATTCTAAGTATAATTTGTTTGAATTATTTTAATTCTCATGACAAAAACATCTTATTCACTTCATTGATATTTTCTTAGAAACAAATTTTTAGATTTGAAAAAGATGCCTTAATTTTTTATGAGGCCCTCAGAAATTATTACCAATTTCAGATTATCTAATTTATTTACCCAGAAAATTTAAAACTTAAGAGAAAGATAGGGGAACAATAGAGACATGAGGCAGCAAGTTAACATATGCCTTAAGTAGCTCATAGCCTACCTGTCTGAACCAGCAGCTGCATTCTTTGTAAGCCTTCTTTTTTCTCTTTTACCAGTTTCTGGAGCAAATTCAGTTTGCTTTCCTGGGTTTGCAAATTGTAATGACCTCAAAGCTTTAGCAGTTCTTCCCTGGAAAAAGGTAAACAATTATCAACTCAAATCTTGACATTAGGTCATATTAATATTTCACTTAATGCTAGTCCAGATTATTCCTTAACCTGGCAATCACAGGTCTGTGTGAGAGGAACTCACACTAAAAAACAGCTTTAGAGCCCAACTGCAACAAAATTTACACAGCCCTGCACCATATTCAAAGTTTATTGGTTAATTTACTTAATATTTTCATTATCTAATTTTAGTCTCTGGCATATTAGGATAGAAGGTCAGGCATGGTGGAAACTGCAGTGGCTGTTGCCACCATGGAAGAGAAGTCAGAGAAACAGCTTTATAACCCAACGGCATAGAACTATAAAGCTCCTAATTATGATCTTGAGTCCTTAAGAAGGTTCTATTATTACTCTATGTTTTCAAAAGCAAGAAGTAATATGGTTTCAAGACCTGAAGTGTATTACAATCTTTTTTCAAAAGTTTTAGTAAAATGTTGATGGTTAAGAGTTTAAGTTTGTTATTTGGAGGAAAAAAGCTTTATGTGATACATTCCACAAGAACAATGGATAAGGTGGAGAAGACATCTTAAGGAACAGAAGCCAAGTATCTAGTTATGAACTGCCAGATTACAGTGGGTACTGGAGATATGTCTCTGAGGGGAGAACAAAAGGAAAACACTACATGTAATTCAAATTTTTAATTATCTTTTAATTTGGTTTATTAATATAATGAAAGGGAAAATTGAGAAAAATATCCCAGCAGCAATAATTATAAATTGGTTGTAAGTAGAAATTTTGAGAAGGGATCCTTTGAATATACTTGTCCTTGTTCTACAGCAAAGATTGCTTTATGAAATCTTAAATTGTTCTGATATGGTTAAATAATTTGAATGTAGAATTGTGAATAAGTTATAAAATATTTAATACTTACAAGGGAAAAATGTATGCTTTTTGACCATAGGGTGTCCTAAAATTAGCCTTAACCAAACCAAGTAAAATTTCAGAGCCAGAAGCAAAGGAAACTCACAGGCATCTTAAAACTCCAATGAGAATGGGATAATGCCAAAGGAAAAAAGGTGAAGTAAGAAACAACTACTGCAAGTCACTTCTCTCATGTTCCTTTTAAAGCAGGAATTTCCAAGTCCTACATAAAAAGGGGAATTCATCCTGCTATACACAGACCCTTGCTGGCTGGCATGTCCCACTATGTTACTTTAGTACCATTAAAGAAACTAAGATTCTGGCTTTGCCAGAATGTTCTAAAAGCCACTCCTAATGTCTTAGCCCTAGGAGTTACAGCTTCAGAGTCTTGGGCATATTATGTTATTCCTTTACCAAGCCTACTTTCTTTATCATCTGATCTGAGTATATGGAAATGTGTAGAAACCACTGTGTTTCCCGAAAATAAGACCGGGTTTTATATTAATTTTTGCTCCAACAATCTACATTTATTCATGTACAAAAATCTGCATTTATTCAAACAGTCATGTCTGGCTGTCAATCTTAACTGGGGCTTATGTTTGGGGCAGGGCTTATATTACGAGCATCCTGAAAAATCATGCTAGGGCTTATTTTCCAGTTAGGTCTTATTTTTGGGGAAACATGGAACATTTATTTTCACCTCCCCAACATTACATTAGCTGCATGCTAATTAGTATAATACATAATAAAGTAAATATGATTTCCTTAGAGTTAAGCAAAACCCCACATTGTAGAAGTAGCACAACAGAGAAACGACTACTATACACACATCTGAGTCAGGTTTTCTCCTCTGCCGGTCTTCACAATCAATCTCCACACTTCCATTGATGATCTGTGTACATTTGGGACAAAGCTTCCAACCAGGTACCAGCTGTCTGCCAAATTTTGCACTCAGAAAAGTGGCATCATCTAAGTCAATTACATGCAAATTTTTTTTGGCTAGTTTTTTGTGTATGTTAAATGGGTCACAACATGACTTCTGCAAATCCTCAAATCTATCAATGTAAATTTTTGCATGATGAAAGCAAATTGTATTGTTCCCAGAAAGTGTCATTCCAGTTCTAAGTTGAAGTAAAAGCATATCATTTGATGACAATTCTTGCAAAGTCTTGAAACCTGTGTGACGAGTATAGTAGGTTTTATGGCACTCATTTGTGCTACGAAGCTGGACTCCAACTGAGCACGGATCCATCATTCTTGATTCTGGCAAATGTCCCGCTTGATTTTGTCTAGCGATCTCTAATAGGAGACATGGTTATCACCCTAGAGAAAACATCAGAGTCAGAGTTGTATTACAAACTTTTTATCCGGAAAACTGAAAAAGCATTTGATAAAATTCAGTGCCTGCATAAAAGCAAGCAAGGAATAGAGAGGTATTTACTAAAAACCTACAATAAACACATTGAATCATAAAATATTAGAAGCATTCCCTATAAAGCTGGAACTACACAATACCTGCTATCACAGCTTCCATTTAATACCATATTAAAAAGTATAAGAATTGAAAAGAAAGTAACAAGAAATATTACTCAATAATGATATATCTACATGGAAAATACAAGTTTAGAACTAGCAAGATCATTCAACAAAGATACTGAAAACCAAAAACACTTTAAGATACCTTACAAAATAAATAAATCTTACAAAAGACATGCAAGACTTTTACGGATAAAATTATCAAACAGAAAAGCAAAAAAGACACTCTTAATAAATGTAGAAATATGTCTTGGAATATGTCAATTCTCCAGGAATTTATCTATAAATCCAATACTATTCCATCAGATATTCCACCCACTCCCCCCTGGAATTTAGCAATCTGGTTTATATGGAACAGTAAAGGTCCAAGTAAACCCAGATAATCATGAAAGAAAACAAAGTATTATTTTACTATAAAATTATTATAATTAAAACTGTAGTATTGGCATAATATACACAAATAGATCCATGAAAAGATGGTGTATGATATACAGCATTATAAATCAATGGGCATTACACATTATAAATCAATGGGCATTATTAAATGAGAAGGATTTAATAAAAGATGCTTGGAAAACTGCCTAACCATGTGGGAAAAGGCAGAATAAGATTTCTTTCTCACAAACAAAAATCAATTCTAGATGGATTAAAGAATTAAACATGAAAAGAAAAAACTTTAACAATGTTTACAAAAAAACATAGACTTTGTGACACTGAGGTAGAGAAGAATTTCTCAAACAAGAAAGCACATATCAAATGAAAAGATGGATACACTTCACTGTATGTCAAAATTAAACATTTCTCTATAACTCTAAAAGAGAAAAAAAGCCACTTGAAAGTTGTTGTTAGGATTACTATCCCAAATATATGAAAAAATCCTGACATCTACAAATCAACTAGAAAATAACATAGAACCCATTAGAAAACTAAACAAATATCAAATAGTCAATTCAGGAAGACAAAAACCAAGATAGCCAATAAATGAATGCAAAGATATTCAATCTCAGTTATCAGGAAAATGTAAATCAAGTATCAGTTCTCAAACACCTACCTGGCGAAAATTTAAAAATCTGACAACCTAGTGCTGGATAAATGTGGCCAACCTTTACATGCGTCTTATACATTGGTAGGAATATAAATTGCTGCAACTGTTTTAGAGTGTTTTTGGCAATTTCTCACAAAACTGTACACCACAGGACCTTGCACTTTTAGTTCTAGGTGTCTGAGCTAGAGAAATATGAGCACAAGTTATTACATAGACAGTCAGCATTTACAGTTATTAATAGTTAAAAAAACTGGAAATAACCTAATTGTGAAGGACAAGAAATTGTTGGTTACTCATAAAATTACTCTTACAGGACAGTTAAAATGAATAAACTGCATGAATTACCTGTATCAACATGGATAAATCTCAATCTATGAAAAAAGTTGCAAAAGGGTATACAGCGTTATCATTTGTGTAAAATTTTAAACACACAAAATAGTATATATTGTTTATGGGTGAAAACATGAATACATACAGAATATGCATCACAGTAACAAATACCAAATTTGTGGATACTTCTGAGGAAGGAGGAACTTTTTTTGGAGAGAAAATAAGATAAGGCTTGATGGAATATACACAAGCATTTCATTATTTTCCATACTTTCTATTTAAACTTTTTCATAACAAAGTATTTTTCAAAACAAATATAAAAACTTAATTGAATTCTTAAGAGAATATTCGACAAATGCAAGACACTAAGAAAAAACTGATGACGAAAATAGATATGAAAAAAAAAAGGTATTGAAAAATCTAGAATTCTGTAATCTTGCAAGTGTTTTTATAAGTTTTGCTCTAAGTTCAAAAGCTGGTTAGAAATCTTAAAGATACTGTCTGATGTGTTTTCTGCAGAGAGAAATTGTAATCAGTAAAACTATATACAAAGAGTATACTCTAGCCTCATGTAATAGAAAAATGGCAAATAAATATACATCTTGATGTTTTAAGTTAAAACACTAAATTTAAAAATTAAAAAGTACAATTTAAAGTTTTAAAAGGTTATTGAACATGTTAACTTAAAACTTTTAAGCTGTTTAAAATAGAGTATATTTATCTTCTTTTATTCTATTTTAACCAACCTTTAAAATTTAACTAAGTATAGTTCCCAATCCCATTACATAAAGTGGTTTGTATCATACAAATAGTTTTTTTTAAAAAAGAGGGTAAAGGGCCCGCCAAGTGGCTCAGTTGGTTGAGTTCGTTTTAGAGTGCAACCTCTGAGCAACAGGGTCGCTGGTTCGATTCCTACATTAGCCCCCTGATACTGCACCCAAGCTAAGCTGCCAATGAGCTGCCAACAGGTGGCAGGATGGCTCAGCTGGTGAGAACACATGCTCCTAACAAGACCGCCTGTTTGATGGTGGGCTATGCCTGCCTGCAACTAAGACTGAATTTGGCACCTTGAGCTGAGCTGCCACCCAGATGGCTCAGTGATTAGAGCATGCGCTCTTAACAAGGCTGCCAGTTCAACTCCCACATGGGATGGTCGCTACTCGCAGCCGCAACTAAGATTGTAAACACAGCACCTTGAGCTTAGAGGCCACCAGCTGCTGAGGACAGCCAGACAGTGACTGGTACCCTCCACAACTAAGATTCAAGAACAACAACTTGACTGGTCTCCCTCCCCAATTCCCCAAATAAATAAGAGGGTTAAGATAAATTAAGGAGTGGACAAATAAGAAGTCAGAGATACTGTTACACAACACCAAAGTAGGCTATACTGTACCTTAGCCGACATGGGAACTGAATCTGGCTGGGACCTTTCTAGCAGTCAGTATAAAGAAGAAAACTTGATCAATTATCCCCCAGCACACATTGTGGAAACTGCTAATGCTTAATGCCTTATTAATGCATTAGATTCTTTATATCTGTAGGTAACTATCATCAATTTGTAGCCACCAATCTAGAATAGGATATGTGGAATGTAAGACTAGTTCTTAGTATTAAAAGATGAGCTACTCTGACCATATTTGATAGGAAAAGCATCTTGTGACTTAAGAAATTTGTTTTAGAAATTTAATCTGACAATAGTAGTATTTTTACCCATTAGAGAATTCTTTTCCTTGGCTACTAGGGGCCTCTGTCCCTTTAATCTTGGCTACAATACTACAGTTCACAAGAGTTTATTAGCAGACAAGCAATCTTAGACTCCCTTGGAAACTTGCAAGTATAAGTGATTAATTCCTATCAACTCAGTTTTTCTGGTATTTGCTTGGACATCTTCTATAACTATAAATTCTTTAATTAATCTTAAACTACTATGAACTTGGACTCTTAGCTGGGAAGTAGAGTAAAAATTGTTTGTTCTTCAAGTCAGCCATAGCACTATCAGTCTTATGGAAACATCCCTTTCTGGTAAACAGCAATTTCCAAACATTTGGAGTTCTGGGCATACTTCTAAGTACTGTACTATAATTTCTGGAGGAACACTTAAAGGAATTAAACTACCTGAACAATTATTATACTGTTTTCTAGGCATCCATCATCCCTTAGGTGTCACTGTAGGGTTAGAATTATTTATTACTAGAGTTGCCAGATAAAATACAGAATGCTCAGTTAAATTTGAATTTTAGATCATGAAAAATACTTTTCATTTTAACTATGTCCCAAATATTGCTAAAAAATAATTCATTGTCTGAAATTCAAATTTAACTGGTCATCCTGTATTTTTATTTGCTAATTCTAGCAACCTCATTTACTATGTTTTTTTCTTTTTCTTCATCTTCCAGTAGGCAAAGACCTTTCTTTGTTGCCAGCTTCAAATCACGCTCCACCTGTTGTTTAAAGAAAGCTGAACTCCCTATGAACAAATTGGAGGACTTGCTCAGTTTAAAACGAAACTGTCCTAAAACATTAGCAAAGTGCAGATTAAAAAGGGAACTAATTATTTTCTTCGCAAAAATTTTAGGGCAAGTGTGACAATAATATGTTTCAATATGTTGGTTTCTCACTAATACAGCTTTTTTGCTTTGTCACCAGCCTCCTAATTAGTGGGGAAAAAGTAAGTATTAAGAGGAAATTTAACCAAAAACTTTACTGAATTTTTAGGTTAACTCAAAAGAGTAATAATTCCCTTTCATGAAAAATGTCTTTTTGGGGAAGGGGTGAAGTTTAGGGTCTTATAATTTATAAAGCATTTTCCAGGTTCTCTTATGTAATGAAACTAATTTCATCTACCTCTACTATGCAAATCAGCAGCTTTATTTATGGGCACACACATACAAGTCATGACTCTTCCAGCTGTCAACTTTGCCCATTATCTTCAATTACTAGCTACACTACAGGTGAAAGAGAAGTAACAGAAGGGTTAAAGAGCCAATATGAGATAAATCTCAATCCTCAAGAAGGCCCAATCCCAATAAGAAAAGAGGAATTTAAAACAAAAATGTAGTCCCCATAGTACCATTTGAAAGATTTATAGTAAGGGCCAGGCACATCGATAAGCACAAACATCATCAGTTGTAGCTTCTCTAGCACAGTACTGACACTTAGTAGGCACTTCACAAAGTCTTTTAAGTGAATACATGTTCAGAAGCCGCCAGGATTTCACACCAAGAAGGCTGAATCTCCCCAAATCAATGTGACTAGGTGCCCAGGATCCTGCAATTATTCCTACCCCCAACGCCGTGGTGGTCACATGCCTAACGGCCCTCGCTCACGGCTCTATTAAATAAATATTCAAGCCACCAGATACGACCAGTGAGCGCCTCCTATTTTCATGGTACCAGGATAAAAAAATGAATACTCGGCCTCCAGCCTCAAGCAAACATCTAGGGCTGGGAGAATTCTGATTACAAAAATAAAAACAAAATAGGAGAGAGAGAAGCAGTGTACGGGGTTCAAGGCCACAACAGCCCTCCTCTAAAGACTAAACAGCACAAGCCTATAAACTACAGCATTGAGGGCTCCATGTCTTCGGAAGAAAAGACGACACGCCGCGTACGCGGCCGAAACTGTGCTGGGATTTGAAACGGGGGCTGGGGGTACTCTGCACGGCGAGAGGCGGCGGAGGCCCCAGCTAGCAGCTGAAAATGTCACACACACACACACACACACACACCCCGGTTCCGGGCCTCCTCTCCCACTTCCCACGGGCCTCGGTTAACTCGGCCCGTGCCTCTTCCCACCCAGGGGCCTGTCTCCACGCCCTCGCTCCTTGCCAGAGCCTCCTCCCGGCCTATTACCACCTTACCGAGAACTCTCTTCCAGCAGCACGGGCATCCAAGTATGGCGAATTTGGCGGCCCGCTTTTCCGCACGTCCCCACGCTACCACTGAGATGACGGCGAGCGAGAGCTAGAGAGGCGCAGCGCTACCACAAAGAGGGGCCTGGGAGAAGCCTAGAGCGGAACGGAGCCGGGCCGCCAACGGGGCGGAAAGGGCGGGGCCACGTAAATTGGCGAATGATTCAAGGTGAAGCAATAGTTGCTGCAGACGCTGACTTGATTTTGCGTTTGTTCTCAGACGTTAGGGAGATGCTTGGTCCCTGTGGCCATCTCTTACAAGAAACAGGTTTGCCTAGCTTGGATTCCATTCTCAAGTCTCAGTGCCTCTTCGTGATGCCACATTTTTTGCACCCCAATCCTGCTAATCCCTGAAGGAAAAATGAATGAATTAGAAGGAACTCAAGACAGACCTTTTATTTAAGGTCTCACCTTGTATTTAATTTCTTTCTTGCAAGCTAAATATATTCCAAAATGCATCTATTTTAAACTATAAAAAATAGCCATGTTTATTACTTCAAGTAAAATGTAGGCTCTAGAAAGATGCTTGTAAACTTTCTGAGGAAATAAATAATTGTTTTTCTTGTATCCCTATCATCTGCCACAGTTTCGGTGCTCATTAATTTTTAAAATGGGTTTTACTTGTCTAGAATCTTAGAGAACTCAAGATCCCGTAGACTGAAGTATCTCAGCCTTCAACCATTGTCAGGGTGAGATGGGAGGGAAAAAGCCCCCCAAACTACTGTTTTTTAACCAGCCAAGTAAAAACAATGTGAGACAGGGAAATAGGCCCACCAAGACCCAAGCTTGCTAGTAATACTATACTCACTTAATGTAAGTTGTTTTCTGAAGTGAGCCTATGGTTCTTCCTACCTCCTCCATGCTGTGCTACCAAGGCAGGGTGTGGGGCTCAGTAAATTACACCACTCTTAGAACTGGGGGATGGGAGAAAGGCAAAAACCAGGGATAACCCCCTCAACTGTGTCTGCAGACGGTCATCACGCTCAGTAGTTCTTCTAGTAGTTACTTTGTGGTTGGCACTTTGCTAAGTAATAATGAGATAGAAGAATACAATTTATCCCTGCTTTTGAAGTGCTCACAAACTAGAGAGAGAACCGGAGGAGTAAACAGTTAATCATAGAGCGGTGTGATAAATGCCATAATGGGAACACAGGATATGAACAGGATCAAAGGAGTTAGTAAAGCAGGGGTATTCTGTGAGGAGATTAATGCTTGAGTTGAGCTGTCATATGGAAAACTAACTTCATGCAATGGCGGCCTCCAAGTAAACTCCTAGGCAAGCTATCCTAGAGGTAATGAAATAGAAGGTTCACAGACCAAATTAAGATGCTTGAATAACATGGTTGATTGAATCAATTTTAATACCTAGTGAAAAACAAGGGGAAAGAGTTGAAGTTGACACACTTCGGATAGGGTGTAAGCAGGTAGAAGGACAACATCACCTGAATCAGGAGTTAAACAATCCTCATATGTTCTATCTGCCACATCAGCCTTTTCCACTGATGATGATATGCTTATGAGAACCAGAGTTCAGGTACAGTAAGGAGGCCCACAGGTGGAAAGTGCTTTGGGCCAATAGCACGCACCTGCTCTGTTGGTTAGGCACAGGGAAACGTGCCTGGCCACAACCAGAGCTTACTCGTTAGCCTGAACGGACATGGGTTTATTTGCATTTTTTTTGATAAACATGTATGAGACTATACTAGATGTCACATATGAATGGCTGGCTGATTTAGCGGTGACATAACTGTCAGCCCAGAGATTGCATAATTATTCATAGCTTAGTTTTTCCATCCCTTTTTTACTATAAATGACCCTCTAGTTTTTCATATTTTCAATTTATTTTAACTTTGGCATGCCGTATAGTTGACTCACTATGTATATTTAACACAATTCTGCCTATGTTTCACAAAGTATGTGCTTACATTCTCTATATAAAACATCCTATGAGTTTTGCATTTATCTCATAAGCTGCCAGTGTATTTAACACATTTTCTGACTAACACTTCTTATGACTGTCATCCATCCTTAAGAAAACTGTAAGGGATTCAGTATAGCTGGAGTGGGAAGCTGGAGAGATAAGTAGAGAACAGATAATGTCCTTTATATGCCATATTAGAGATACTGCATTTTATCCTGAAGTAAACTGTAAAACTGTAAGGAGTGTGGAGTTTAGGGAAGAGGTACAGTACAGGGCAGAAGGGCGAGGTGGAATTTCTTGCCCTAATTCAGGTGATTAATAACTAGGGCCTCAGTCAATTCAGTAGCTCTATGGGGTGACCTGTGATTCCCTCTTCCCAAGACATTTGGTCATATCTGGAGACATTTTTTGTTGTTTCAGCTAGGGGGTGCTGCTGATATCTGATGGGGTGAGGACAGGAAGACTGGTAAATATCCTGCAGTGCACAAAACAACCCCTCACAAAAGAACTACCTGGTTCAAACTTTCAGTAGTGCCAAGATTGAAAACCCTCAAACTAAGGGAGTTAAGAAAGCATAGAGAGGATAGAAGTTAAGCAAGCAGATTTAGTTGAATTTTGTAAGTGATTAGATAGGGGTGTGAGGAAAAAGGAGAGAATGGTTTTAGGGTCCTAGCTTGGGTAATTGGGAAGACAAAAGGAGAAATGGGTTAGGGAGGATAGAGACAAGGAATTAAATGTTGGAAATGTTAAGTCTAAGACATCCAAGCGAAGAGTCACAGTAAGCATTTGGAAAGAAGAGGCAGGAGATGAGAGGAATTTGAACTGAAGATCAGAGTTTTAGAAAATGTTAGTATTTGATCAGGATCTCTTTAGATAAGTTCCAAGAATCTGCATTTTTGGCAAGGAATTAGGCAATTTTTCAGTGTGCTAAAATTTGTAAACGATAGATTTAGGTCTCAGAGGAGAAGCCTGAGAAGGAGAAGACAGTGAGGTGGCCAGAAAACTAGGGAAGAGCAGAATCCCACATACCAAGGAAGGAAAGAGATGAACGCAGGGTTCTATCAGTATAAGCAGTTGCTATATAATAGTACTGGCCATTAGATGTATAATGAGAGTCACATATGTACTTGTAATTTTTCTAGTAGCAATACAAGAAAGGTAAAAAGAAATAGGTGAACTTAATTTTATACATATATTTTGTTTAACCCAATTTATCATTTTACCATGTAATTAATATAAAATTGTTAATAAATATGCTACAATCCTTTTTTTTTCATACTGTCTTAGAAATCTGGTGTGTATTTTACCTCTCAATTTGGACTAGCCACATTTCAGGTACTCAGTAGCTACATGTGGCTAGTGGCTACTATATTGAATAGCATACCTGAACTGTGTAAGGTCAAGTAAGACAAGCACTATAATGTATTCTTTAGCTATAATAATAAGGTGATCATAGATGGTGTGATAAGAGCTCTTTCAGTGAAGCGGGGGGTAGAAGCCAGAATATACCCAGTTAAGGAATGGGTATGTAAACAGTTACCATAGTGAACACTTTCAAGAAGCTTGACTGTTTAAAACTCAGTTTTTTATGTAGGTTTTAACAATTACATTTAGACTATGCTTCTGCAGATTGACTTTCTACTGGAAGCTGTCTTCAGGTATGAGACAAAAGGCAATATAGAACTATGATTCCTGAGAGAAGAGAAGCAAATCAGGTAAGTCCTACAGTGAACCCCAGCTTACTGCCTGGAGCCCATGTTCAGAGCATAGAGTAGGGAGAGACCCTAAACAGAGACCAGTGGTTTCACTGAACGGAGGAGACAATTCATGGAAGGAAGCTGGTGGGCAGGTATCAGAGAGGAGGAGTGCTGGAGGTCTGCCCAGGTGTGCTTTTCCCCTTGTACCTTTGCTAAGCATTTATCTGTGCAATGGAGGGTGAAACTCTATGAGGCTTGGAAAAGAACCACAAAAAAAGCAATACGCCAAACCATTTCTGATGCTGGGTACAGTTTGTATTCCATCAGCCAGAGTAGAGCAATCTTGTAATAAGCACTTTGCCTCTACCAATCAAAATAAAGAGAGTTGAAGTCTTTCCATGTGGCCTCTTTGCTTAGGTTAGGCTACTTTGGTCTTTCTTACAGTATGGTAGCTGTAAGGGAGCTGGATTTATTACATGGTGGCTCAGGGCTCCCAGTGCTTGTGGTCCAACGAGCAAGGTGGAAAGCTACTTTGCCTTTTATGACTTAACCCCTGGAGTCATGTATTGTCACTTCTACCTTGTTCTGTTGGTTATGTGTGAGTCTTTGGCCCAGATTCAAGGGGAGGGAACATAGCCTCTACCTCTTGATTGGAGAAATATAAAAAATGTCCAGGTATGCTTTAAAAATGCATAAAATAGCATAGTCTAGTACCAAATCTAATAAACTACCATAATTGCAAAGTAGTGATGAGTATAAATGATATTTTGATATCTGTAACAATTGTAATTTGTTGTTGTAAACAAAATTGTTGTAAACAAAAAACTTGTGATTTCTATTGGTGACAAAGTTATAGATACTGTAGACACAGTTATTAATACTACAGCAGTACTGATAGCTACCGTTAATAATACTGTAATTTGTTGCCTGGGGTTGTAAGTAAATTAAATGCTTAATTTTAGTTAGAGTTTAGGGGACATAAAGAGAGAGATAAGTAGGGGCATATAAAAGCAATGTTTAGGATCTATATGAAGCTAGAGACCATGAATATGTAGCAACATAAATCTCTGATGTGGAAATTTCAATTTTTCTTCTAGTGTCTAGGTGTCCTTGTGCGGGACCAGTGCAGTCAGACAACTGGATTCATTCAAGGTAGAGGAATTGTCAATCAGATACATCAGAAGGACAAGGGACAAGAGAGTTTAGAATTTTGTGAAGGAAGTCACTGGATGGTAAGAGTTATGAGAAAAGACACCATGTTGGTTTGATTTACTATAGTATTCCCACAGCCTACAACTGTTAATTGAGTCAGTTGAATGGTTAAAGTGATAATCTGGAAACAAACAAAACAGGGAAAGCTGATTAGCTGTGAGAATGTGAAGAAAACATGAGCTCTCAAAATCAAAATAGAAGGTAAGGAGGTGAAGGCAGTGATCCGACTG